TTCATGGGTACCCACGGGTTTTTGTCGTAAACAATTTACAATAACAAGTTTCTATCAAAATTAATAACAAATATCTATCTCTCAATATAAATTATCCATATTTAAAACACCATTCTAGAAAATTCAAGTAAATCACAAATTAACTATACAAATTGTTCAACACCAATCTAGAAAACTCAAGAAAATTGAAGTAAATCATAAATTATCAATAAATAACATGATTAATTGAAGGCTTCTTCCTTTCAATTAAGTTTCTTCACTCCACTCGATAACATCAACTTTATTCTACACAATTAGAAAGAAAAAATTAGACATGTCTCCACAAACATAAATAAGATTAGTTGTTTAAAAAATTAAATATACCGAGAAATTTAATTATATGTGTGTGGACGGGTACACATGGGTCGTGTTTACCTAAACCCAAACCCAACCCGGTGAATAGTGAAAGGGTTTAAACCCAAACCCGGACCAAAACCCGTCAACACGGATTTTACCCATATTGACCGGGTTGGGTCGGGTGGGTACCCGTGGGTTCGGGTTTAGTTGCCATCCCTATCTGCTATCCTACCCTCGTGTGGTAAATGGATTGGATTCATTAATTGCTGGATCCATAGATCTACTAGATTGGATCCAATGAATTGGTTGATTCATGAATTGGATCAAATGGATTGGTGGATTCATCCATGAATCCAAATGACATTCAAACCTTGTACCATTATGTAAATTTTGAAAAGTTTAAGTATTAAAATGTCATGATAAAAAAATTTAGGTACCAAAATATAATTTTCAATGATACTTTTTGCATAAAAATAATTTTTAGACACCAAATGCAAAATATAAAAAATATAGATACTAAACCATAATTTTTCATTTGTATCCATGTATCAATTCATGAATCCACCAATCCAATTGGATTTGGATCAAATGGATTTAAATGGATTGGATTAGATGAATAATTTGGTGGATGGATTAGATGAGATTCATAGATATATATCATAATTGCCACCTTATCTTAACACATTAAATTTAACCAATTTAATTTAGTGCTTACAAGTTTTAATCCAATCTACCACTCTAATGCATTCACATAAATATCTAATTAATCTAATTTACTTTTCAAAATCCAACTGAATGGCTGGGTTCATAAATTGTAGGAAAATATAGTTAATACCTATATTTATATATTTTACAAGTTGGTACCTAAAACTTTTTATTATGATATTTTAGTACATAAAATTTTTAAAATTTATATATTGGTCTAATCTATGAATCCACCAATCCATTGGATTTAATTCACTCTGATTTATAGATCCATCAATCTATGAATCCAATCTAATTTTGGCACGATCTTTTGATGCACTTAAAGTTAATCATCTTGCGCATTAAATCGATTTGTGAAAGTCCTATGTGGTTGTATATTTCAGTAACACGATGGATCCATTTTATTTCGAGTGAGAGAATGATATTGAATTTCTTTGTACTCGTTTAGTACCCTAAATGTTGTTCATTTAAATTGATAGAATTATAGATTGGACCTCTTACTAACTTCATCAGGTACTTTGCGCACCTTTTGTAAAACGATGATGAACATATGCAATGCAGCATCTAGTTGGGGAAGACAAAGACCACTTAATCAATGATACTGGCAGCCATTTTTTGTTTTTTTGTCACGTGTCGGATTGGACATGAACTTATGTATGATTTATAAATAGTTTTGTAAATATTTTTCCTTTGGCAGGTACGTATTAAACTAGAGATAAGTGGTAGGGTCATAATCGTCATATCATACGGCTAGTGATTTGTAGATTGAGCCAAAAATTCGGAAGGCCAGCCAGGCGGGCAGTGGTCCAGGGATTTCGCTTATCATGTTATCCCGGCCCATATCGCTGCACCTGTGGGCCCGCAATAAAGCCCACCTTCTCATTTAATTTTTTGTACGGGGACCAACAGAGTGTTGGGCCGTGCTTTCACAATAGTTTCATGCAACTTCTTTTTGGTTTTTTGTTTTTCTCCTTTCTCTAATTAAATGGATGGTCTTGTCTTGGAAACAATTGTGAGATGGGATCTAAAAGGAAGAGGCAATAAAAATATAGAATAGCAAGGATTTGGATTTGGATTTGGATTTGGATTTAGTCTAAACAAGGGGTATTTCGAGCTTGAGATTTGGTGTTCCAGTTAACTCGGTGGTTGATTTGTCGTGAGCAGGGTTGACCCACCTACTCTGACCCAGCAGAAAAATGGGTTGCACGCATCTGTCGGATCGACCGCTACAAGCTATCGGGTTGAAGGTCAAATTGTGTCGTTTTTTTTTTGGCTTGCGAAATGCACCTATTTACCGATTTATCTTTTCGCCTAACTAAATCTTTGGAATCCTTAGTTGAACATTTGAATATTGATGTTATATAAGTGTCTGTGAATTTTTCACTATATGTTGGATCTAAGTACGACATGTTACTTTGGTGTAATGTCATATGTTAGATGAGATTTGATATAATTTATCAGGATAAGTACACTATAATGACTCTTTCCATATTTCCATACTAAACGAACTAAAACGAGTGACCAGTTAACCTCTGACCCACTAGTTCGACCGGGTCCAGGTCAACCCGTGGGTTGACAACCTTGGTCGTGAGATTAGACTGAGATAATATCTCTTATGAAGTATATCAAGTGTTCATCTTGTCCAATTAGTACAAGAACTTTTCCTATTTGGAGAAATAAAAAAAGAGCCAAAAATATAAATTAGAGCTATAAAAGCGGATACATGTTTGGATGGGTTAATTCTCTAAATATTGTTTTTTTTAAATTTACCACGAATATAGTGTTTTTAAAAGTATTTACAAGAATATTGTGTTTTTTGATATGTTTAAAGCGCCGAAGCCTTAGACTCAGGCGCTGCCGCTGGATGCTTTTTTAACAAACAAAACACAGCGGCGCCGCCCCAGACTGGGGCTTGGTCGCTGCCATTTTGTTCCACTCCAGCACCACCCCTCACCATATATACTGCACCTTTCCTTCGGTTCTTCATCACCAAAAAACTGAAAGAAGTTCTGAAAGAAGCTCTGGTGTTGCTGTCTGGTTGCTGGGAAGATGGCTAATAACAGGTAAAAGTCTTATTTATTTTTTTCATGTATTCATCATAATGATTTTGTCTAGTTAGTAATTAGTGAGTTTGTTTTTTATGTAGTGATTTTAGAAGATTTGAACTAGCTGTTCGGTGGCGATCAGAGAAAGTAGAAGACAATTTGGGTGTCCATTTTGTTGGTGGTCTAAGTTTCCATATGACTATTCCATCCAGGGTGAACTATCAGAAACTTTGTGATCATCTAATTCGGAGAATACGGATTAGAGACGAAACAGTACAAGATAGTGTTGTGATTACAGGTTTCACCTACTGTCTTCCAGAATGGCAGAATGGTGTTTTATTTTATTATGCAATGCCTATTGTTGATGATGATAGCTTAAATGTGCTTTGGAATTTTATGGCACAAAATCCTTATTGTTTGGGTGCTGAGATACATGCTGAGCTCAGTGAGGATCGGGGTGGAGAGGAAGACGATGATGACGGTGATGACACATGGAGCATGCCATCCGATCATGATTATGATGACGGTGATGACGGAGATGAGGAAGACGATGATGAGGAGGAGGAGGACGACGACGACGACGGGGAGGGAGGAGAACAACCTAATTTTCCTCCATATTTTTACTTGCAGGGTAATGAAGAGGACGAGGAATTATCATATGCTGATTCATATGGCGTAATTCCAGGGTCTACTGTTGGTGGTTTTGATGGAGAATTCTACAAGGGGAAAATATTTCACTCGAAACAAGCTGCACAGGTGGCGATGAAACACTATGCACTACAACGCAACTTTCAGTATAACGTGGTGGAGTCGTCACCTTCAATCTGGAAGATCAGATGTTTGATGAACAAGGAGGACAAATGTCCTTGGATGGTGCGGTTTGGATGTCTAGAAATGGGAGGCGATTGGAGCGTGAGAAAGGTCGAGTTGGTTCATACTTGTAGCAGTACGACTCAACCGACGGATCATCGCCATCTTGATGTCGACGTGATATCTGAGGCCGTCAAACACTTGGTACGTGCCCAACCAAATCTGAGTGTTCTAACTGTTCAGGCCGAGTTGAAAGATAAGTTTAATATGCAAGTTACTTACAAGAAGGCTTGGTATGGGAAACAAAGAGCATTGGAGAAGTTGCATGGAAATTGGGAAGAATCCTATGATTTTTTGCAAACATTCTTGCGGGTGGTCAAGAGAAAAATGCCAACATCAGTGATTCATTGGGTAAGAGTTCCTTCGACTCAACCAGGTCATTCAATATTTCAGCGAGTATTCTGGGCTTATGGACCTTGTAAAGATGGATTCAAGAATTGTCCAGGCGTTATGGTTGTTGATGGAACATTTCTTACTGGGAAGTATAAAGGAGTGCTACTCATGGCGAGCTCATTTGATGGACGGAAGAAGATTTTTCCAATTGCATTTGCCATAGTGGAGAGTGAGAATACTGATAGTTGGCCATGGTTCATAAGTCACGTTCAGGGTTTGACTGATCGAAATGATGTATGCATCATCTCAGATAGACATGCAGGACTCTATGAAGCCATGAATAACATCGGAAGAGGTTGGGAGTGGAGGTGGTGCATGCGACACTATGCAAGAAATTTGCAAAGGAAGACTAAAAGCAGAATTATGTATAATCAACTATTTCGAGTCGGTAAGCTTTCTTCATATAATTTTGTTACTTGTTTTCATGTAATTTTGTCATGAATTTATCTAACCCGTGTGGTGGTTTATTTTATTTTGTTAGCCGGAGAAAAACGGTTGGAGAAGTTTGATCGTCAAGTTGAGCAATTTAAGAAGGTGGCCGCTGATAGAAATATTTCATGTGATAACTGGGTGGATCAACATCAGATTCGTTGGAGTTTAGCACACGATAACTACAATGGTGGGCGTCGTTGGTCTATCCTGACATCCAACATGGCAGAAAGCGTCAATGGTATTTTCAAAGGTATTCGTGCACTTCCTATAGCTTCTCTTGTGCAACATACCTATTGGCGATTGGTGGAGAAATTCGATAAGTACAGGTTGGAGACAGGAGCAGAAATTAGGAGGGGTCCTTCACAATTCTCCACCAAGTGCGAAGAGCTGATGAAGGCATGGTCACAAAAGGCAGTTGGACATTCTATGACAGCTCATGATCGACGTCAAGGCATCTATGTAGTTCAGACTCCTCCCAACAATTTCAACATGACGGGGTCAAACACACTCACAGTGCACTTTGACGACCCCAACCGGACAGGATTTTGCACCTGTGGTAAATTTCAAGGAAATAAAATTCCTTGCTCTCATGCCATTGCAGCTTGCAACCGAATGGGTGCTAGTGCGTATAGGTTTGTCAACAATGTCTACAAGCTGGAAACAGTGATGGCTTGTTATGGGACAAGTTTCGCACCTCTTGGTGAACCTAAGGGTTGGAAGAAGCATAATGACCCTACTCTCCATCCTAATCTGGACATGATTAGAAAGCCGGGGAGGCCAAGATCAACACGAATTCACAACGAGATGGATTGCCCAAGGGAGGGTTCATCACAGCAAGTGTGTAGCAACTGTAACCAAGCGGAACATAATGCATCAACATGTGGTGGCCAAGCAAGTGGGAGTGGGAGCAACCGAAGAGGGAGTGGTGGCCAACGAAGTGCGAGAGGTGGTAGAAGAGGAGGAAGTAGAGGGAATAGACGTGGCTGAGAAGTTAGTTCGAATGTAGAAGTTGTTGTTTGGAGTTGTTGTTGTTTGAAGTTGTTGTTGTTTGGAGTTGTTGTTGTTTGAAGTTGTTGTTGTTTGAAGTTGTTGTTTGGACTTTTATGAACTGAACTAGTTGTTGATGTTTGTTGGTTTTATATTTAAAGTCTCAATTTAGACAATAACACTAAGAACATCAGATTAAAAATAGTACAAAATAAGTACATAACAATAAATAGTCTCAAGGAAGTACATAATAATAATGCATAGTCACAAAGAACATAATAATAGTCTCAAGGAAGTACATAAATACATAACAATAAATAGTCCTCAACCACCACGACCACCACGCCGACCACCACCGTGCTCTGCCACTAGATGGCCGCCAGTACCACACCTCGCTGGCCTCCTGTCTCGTGGAGGCAACTGCTCATCTCTCTCCGCCCCATCATCCTGATCCTGTGTGCCGAACATATCATCTACTTGAGACTGAACATGCTCATCCGGTGCACCCTCTCGTCGCTGCTGCTCATATGCCCAATGAGATGTCTGGAAGTCCTGATCCTGAACCTGCAGACCGACACGCTCCCACTCATCGACGTCCAAATGTGGCAGGTCTGTACTACCTGATCCCATGTGCCCGCCTCCCATCGTAGTATGCTGCGGTGTGTGAAAGCTATCCTCCTGTGGCTGAAACTGAGGGCCAGAAGAACTGGTGCCTGCCTGAAATCCGGTAAAAGTAGGCCTGACTGGCTGGAATGTGAAGGTCGATGTAGGTCTGACGGGCTGACGATCTGAGTACCTCACTCCTCGAGGTACGTCACGCTGCTCACGTTGCTGTCTCCTCCTCCTGGGCTCCTCTGTGAACTGTGGCGGTGGCACGCCCCAGGCCGATGACTGAGTCCTACGCTCTGGCCAGCTAGCTAAGCTGCGGTCATCGGGGTACCGCTGTATCGGCTTTGTATCAGGATGTTGGCGACCACTAAAACCTATAGCTGTAACCCCTGCCGCCAACTGGTCAACATACTCCGCCATCTGGTCATATGATAGCCCTCCTGATCTCATCCCATCACGTAAACCCTGCTGAACGGACTCCATGCAATCGTACTGCAAATTTAAATGGAAAATATCAAAAATTCTATACATATAAAAACAATTAAAACACAAATTTTAATTACTAAAAAAACTCACCGCTGCGTTCAGTGCAGCAACACTCCGTGTGCCTGAACGTCTAGTGACATCTCTATACCACTCTTGATGCTCCGAGTGGTAAGCTAATTCTACGTCAGTGTAGCTCGTCTGCGCTACGAACTCATGTCGACGGTCCCACAACTCAATCGACTCGCTGGCTGCCTGTATTAACTGCTGTCCACGTGAAGGCCCATGCTGTCCCTGACGAAGAAAAAATCTAATCTCAGCCGCGGAATGTGGAGGATGAGGCCGATCCTGAACCATCCCAAACTGTCCGAGCACGCGATCTGGATGATGCCACATCTGCGATGAGAAGCAGATTAACGGAACTACTGCTCGAAACGTGTGGGACTGGATCACAGTACCGCTGTAGTCCTGACCTCTATGATAGTACGGATGCCACTGCACACAAGGATTGGTCACATAATTACTCCTAAATCTATAACAAATCAATTAAAACTATTCTATAAAACGAAATGATATATACTAACCACGAATGTCGTGCACTCGTCAAACCACAGCTTGTACAAGTAGAACTGATCTCCATGCTGACGGGTGTGGGCTGGAAGCCACCGAAGGCCACGTGGCACTGCGTCCTGAGTAATCTGCTCACCCGTCACCGCATGTAGTGGTGATGTATGAGGAAACCGCTCCCACGTCCAGATCATCAGCAAGGCGGACCGTCCACCAAAGTCACCACCCAGTGAAGAAGATGCCGTCATCTGCAGCGCCGATCTACCCATCTCACGGTCAGTGGCGGACCCAGAAAATTCACATAGGGGTGTCCTCTTTCAAAAAATAAAGTAAAATAAAAATTAAATAATTAATAATTAATAAAATTATATTATTATTTAGTAAGAAAATACCCAACTCGTACAAGTTAAAAAAAAGTCAATGATGTATTTTCATATTCTAAACAAATTATAAAAAATACTTGGTGTATACACTGCTCAACAAATTTGTCTCGGTATATCCTACTAGACGATCATTCACGAGCTTACGCATATTTGAATTCTAAATTTGTTCATGATGTAACTCAAAGTTGAAAAAACACTTTCAACACGTGTCGTACAACCATAAGATCAATATAAATTAAGGGTAACTTGTAATTGGATTAATTGTTAGGTTTTGAAAATAATGAAAGATAGAGAATAGAGTTTTGCTATTACACAGTGTTTAGAATATAGCAACAAAAAATTTGTAGCCTAATGGAAATTATATTTATTAGTAATAGTAGTGTCCCGGGTTTGAATTACCCAAACTACCACTTATATTCTCATACGCAAACTACAAACGAGAGTAGTATAATCGTTTTCAAATTTTAGGGTGTCCCAGACTATTAGTTATAATTTTTTTGTCTATACGTAAATTAACACCGGGGTTTGGATAATCGATCTTCTAAAATTTAGGGGTGTCCAGGGACACCCCCAAATGCCCCTGGGTCCGCCCCTGCTCACGGTATAAGTAGGATAATACAGCTGCTCCCCAAGCAAACCTCCCCGCTCTGTGCCAATCCTCCACCAAAAGTAGGTACTGCAGGTGGACTGAACCTCCACACTGATCGGAGAACAAGACACCTCCCAAGAGAGACAGCGCATACGCTCTTGCAAACTGCTCTGTCGTCTGGGGTGATGCTGAAAGCGGCAGCTCATCGAAAGTCTCCCTGAGCCAAGAAATCCGGATGACGCCGCCACCAAGATCAGTAGGAGCATGTCCTAATAGTCGAAGACACATACCCGACCAGTCCTCGTCGGGTATGTCTACTACGACGGCATCACCGTCGATCGCTAATCCGGTGAGTGTCGCAACGTCCTCTAGGGTGATCGTCACCTCACCGAACGGCATGTGAAATGTCGATGTCTCGGGTCGCCAACGCTCTACGAGCGCAGTAATCAAACCCGGATCACCGGTAAGAGGGGCTAGTGGCAGAACACTAGACAGGCCGGCATCAACGAGATACGGCAGGTACAGTGGATTGTATCGAACTAAATTTCCAGTATGACGAATGTGGAATGGTCGATCACCAGCCTATAATTAATGCACAAAACTATATTAATTCAATTCCTTCAATTCACCTAATATTTATATTTATATATCTAAACTAAACTTATTCTAATATAATATTCTCGTAACTTAATCTAATTCTATTCCTAATTTAATTTAATTCCAATCGTAATTTAATTTAATTCCAATCGTAATTTAATTTAATTCTATTCTATTCTATCATATTATTCAGCTAATAAACTATAGAAATAGTTTGAAAAAAACTTACCTCATTTGGCCAAACTGCGTCAATCCGATGGTGACCATGCCCCCAAAGAAGTTCGGGATCCATCGGAGCAGTATCGATTGTCGCAGGTGGTGGTCTCATCGAACAAGGATCGATAAGCCTAGGAACTGGAAAAAAAATTAGAACATAAAAAAAATGTCGCCGGAATTTTTTTTTGCCGTCGGCGAGTATCCGACACTCACTTCTGTAGCGTTCGCCGCCGCCACGCCGCCCTCGCCGTCCTCGGCCTCTTCCTCTGCCGCCGGGGGCCTGCTGCTCGTCGTCGGATATTCTTCCGCGTCGCCGCTGTTGCTGGGTCGCCTTCGCTCTCTTCCTCGCGCCGCCGCCTGGGTCTGAGGCGCTGCCGCTCTGTTCTCGGCGTCGGCGCTGGGTGAAGGAGGGGTCGGGATGGAGGAGGATGAAGGAGGTCGGGATGGAGGGAGGGAGGATTGGGTCTGTGCGAGAGGGCGAGGAGGGGAATTAAAAAAACAAAGGAAGCCAGCGACGACGCCCCAGTCTCAGGTTTTGGCGCTATTTGAAATTTCAAATAGCGCCAAAGCCTGAGACTGGGGCGCCGTCGCTGGCTTTACCTTTAAAAACTGTATTTGCTGAGTCTCGGGCGCCGTCGCCAACTTCCCTCCATCAAAACACAATATTGTTGTAAATACTTTTCAAAACACAATATACGTGGTAAATTAAAAAAAAATATATTTAGGGAATTAACTCTGTTTGGATTGAGGGTCACGTTGTGTTCCCAAATCGGGCGCTTTATCCCATGTACTAAACCCCAGCTCGGTGATCAGGAACTCAGACTCCCGTAACACCCTATTGTGCAAGTAATTTTAACAGTAAGATTTGTGCGAGTTTTCCAGAGATGTTCTCGCATCTTATGAGATGTCAAAAAAGTAACATAGAGCGACGATAAGCTCAATAAAATTAAGATGTCATTAAGAGAAAAAAGTCAAAATTCGAAGAACATTTCTTAATCTAAAAAACCACGAAATCAATACTCCTACATTGTTTAGGTCTTGCCATCAAAGGCGATCTGAGGCTGCAAGTTGATCACGTTCTATTATGACTTATATAAGAGAATCGAAAATTCAAAAGGAGAGAAAAGACAAAAAGTTAAGATTGACGAAAGACTAATTAAAATGACTCTAATACCATGTAAAACGATGACATAGCACACAAGACCACCTATGTGCTTCGACAAGTGTGCCTTCGTGCACAAGTACATTATTTTTTCCGATGTTTCTCAGCAATGCACTGCTACATTCGCCGATACGTGCACATAGATCTAAACCTAACAGTAATCATCATATTGGGGTGTTCATAAATAACATGTTACAAGATGTTAATTAACCACACATATATATGCTCCACATAGCCAAAACTAGCTACGAGAGTCCTTCCAATTTTCTAGCGAAAACTAGCTATGAGAGTCCATACATACACATATTCTAGCACCAACTGCTTGAGGATGATGATGGATTAGAAACTAAATACTTGATAAAATTAAAGAAATCTTTTTTTGTGTGTGAAAAGAAAATTATTCTACACCTTGTAGCAAGACTTAAATGCTCAAAAAAACTTCATTTCCAAACGACAAGTTGCAACTATAAAATTATGATTGTGTATTGACTAATTCAATTAATGGTTGATATTTCTTTAGAAAACCATTGAGTTGCTTTCTATACATAGTGTCTCACCTAGTAGACTCTAAGACTGGTAGGTAGCCACTGGTTTTCTCATTATCTTAATTAACATAAAAATAATCATTAGACAATTCAACCAAACATATATACAAAGAGATGAAGAAGTAATTTCACAAAAGAAAAAGAGGAATTAATGAGGGAGGGGAGTGTTGAAGAGAGGAAAGAAAAAAGAGAAAAGAAAAGGGTTTCTTCAAACTCAAAACAATGGATACACAAAGCAACAGTTACTGCTTACCTAATATATTGCTTCCATTTGTAAGAAATGACATATATATATATAATATGCCACCATGCCATTAACAACTAATTCATCAATCAAAACAGTTATATGTCAATCCTAGCTAGTAATATTGACATCTTTTTTATTTTATTTTTAGTCTTGTGCAGATACTTCAAATATCAGAATGAGTAGTGGACTAAATAATATATCATAGCTATTAAAATCTGACCTGATTTCGAACAACATGATACTCCGAAAATGACAATGAAACGCACTCACTTAGGGATGAATTTACCTATCATCATAAATTCAAAATAACGAATTTATAACGATCATGAAGCCATTCAACAATAGTGAATGGCCAATAGCATGTTACAAACTATGATGTTACTTAAATTTCCCACCAAGAAATATAAGTTAAAACTATAAAAAAAAAAAAATGAAAACAACAAAAATTAACACTTGAGCTGCAGGCTCCTCCTATGTTGGTACGTGACATTGATGTTCCATCGGTTAATCGCTATCTTCTTTCCCACTATATCAACAGAGAAAATTACAAGCCCTATCTGTCTTTCACTTTCATGCATGTATATATATATATATACATATACTTTGAAGCAAACATCGTTTTCGCTTCTTCTGCTACACATTATACAAATGTGTCTCTCTCTAGCTGTGTCTGCGTGTTGTTTCTTCTTTTGATGTTGAATATATACACGTCGTTTCATCTTTACTCTCTACTTCATTTTCAGCTAAAAAATAAGTGCAGTATATCTAAGTGAGAAGTGTAAATGTATATATATATATGGCAGGGCCGGGGCTGGCCATGAAATATATACACATACATGTAGGGCAAGCTAGGCATTAAATTTTGTGGCAGTAGTAACTCCCAATGTGGACATAACAATAAGGAAGCCCTCCAAAAAACTGCCATGGAGTTTGCACAAGTATAAACATTTTGTATCCTAATGTCACCTTCTTTTGACCTCTCCTTCTCCCTGTATGTTTAATTTTGTTCCTAAAAATGGAGTAACAACCATTGTTCTCAATGCACTTCACACAAAAGAGATAAAAGGGGAAAAGGGGAAACCCTAGCTACCTTTTCTTTTGTTTTAAGCTTTTCCCCTGAGTTTAAAGAGATACAGAGAAGAAGAAGTTAATGAAATATTCTAGTGTCTGTGAAACCGGACTGTATCGGTTGTTCCATCGGCAATCTTCCTATCAAAGGGTTAAACCATTGTTGATGAACCTCGGTGTGAAACCCTATCTTACGCCTGAATTTTCCCGGTACGATTTCCGTTTCGGTTTTTTTACAATCATTGTGCGAAATATCTTTGAAATTATAAATATAGAGATTCCGGAATATTGTTGCTTTGTCATGTTCATATGTATGGTTTATATAGATTGATGAATGTTCTTCTTTTGGGTTTTATTTCTCTCTAGCCTTTCGTTTTCTTCTTTAAAGAAGAGGGGGTGGGTATAACTTATTATAAAGGGAATTACTGCTTCTGCTTCTTCTTGCATTTGTCCCCACAATATTGTTCATATATATGTGGCAGAGTGGCAGCAACGACAGCAGCAGCAGCAGCTGGCCAATATTGTTTTTTTCTTCTTCTTCTTATATTTTCTGGCTTTGATTGAAAGTTACACATCAGATCCAATGCCATGGCTCTCGACTGGATTGTCCACCAAAACAGATTGGTTCCCTCCCTCTAAATTACAAACTATGTATACGGGACCACTCCTTTGGGAAATGATGGATCGGAGTGTTCCTGCCTTTTCATAATACACAACACAACAACTCCCACCTTCCTACTTAAATGCAAAAACCCTAATGGATATAGAATTAACCAATACTAGTTTTTGGCTATGTGGAGTATATATATGTGTGGTTAACATCTTGTAACATGTTATTTATGAACACCCTAATATGATGATTAATGTTAGGTTTAGATCTATGTGCACGTATCGACGAATGTAGCGGTGCATTGCTGAGAAACATCAGAAAAAATCATTATGTGCATGAAGGCACACTTGTCGAAGCACATAGGTGGTCTTGTGTGCTATGTCATCGTTTTACATGGTATTAGAGTCATTTTAATTAGTCTTTCGTCAATCTATATATGTTCTTTACTTTTTGTCTTTCCTCTCCTTCTGAATTTTCTATTCTCTCATAAGTAGTCATAATAGAACGTGATCAACTTGCAGCCTCGGATCGCCTTTGATGGCAAGACCTAAACATCGTAGGAGTTTTGATTTCGTGGAGTACTCTATTGGAAATGAAGTTTTTTTAGCATGAAAGTCTAGCTACAAGGTGTAGAATAATTTTCTTTTCACACACAAAAATAGATTTCTTTAATTTTATCAAGTATTTAGTTTCTAATCCATCATCATCCTCAAGTAGTTAGTGCTAGAATATGTGTATGTATGAGTCAGACTCATACGTTCTCAGAGCATAGTATGTTCCACGTACTTCTAGTGAAATATGTCTATGTAGATCATGAATTAAATTGAGTTTAGGACATGATATTATATTTCAACCTCTAATGGATAAACCCTAAGTTTTGATTCTCTAAACACAAATCCGAAGTCTAATTTAAGAGAACAATAATTGACCGTTGATATTGGTCGGAGCTCATCATCAAAGTACATCCAACTATCATATCATCTGGAGCATACTATGTTGACCCTTATAATAATATATATGCTATATATGTATATGGTGGCGGATTCGGTGCACCCACTTTTCGGGTGCACTCAATGCACCTGCCTCATAATCGTCATTCTGACCATGCGATTCATGTCAAAATGGTATCAATTGTTGCTTATGATATTATGAACAAGAAGCACATGAATTTGGAAAAAATTCATTCAAATTTTACTTTAATTCGAAGGATTTAGGATTTAGGAATTTAGAGTTAGGGTTTAGGTTTACAATTTGGGATTTTGGGTTGGGATTCAAAATTGAAGGTTAAGGGGTTAGGGTAATGAATTGATTTGTTATGATTCTATGTCATATCATCATATTATATTGAGAGTACTAATTAAAGTTCAAAATTTGATGTCTTATGGACGCTTTTAGAGCAGTGCACCCAAAAAAGTGAGTACACCGAAGTAGTCAAAGGCAAGTTTAATATGCTCATCTCGGATTATTTAAATAGAAAAAATGGAAAACCTATGCAAATAAGCAACAATACCTCATAGCATTAATATATCGGCATCAAAAGCTCACCGTCATATTAAACATGGTCAAACAACGGACCTTAAGATCCTGCTTAAAAACACAATGAGCACAAAAGGTAACAGAAAAATCCCTATGAGTCAAACAATCAGCTAACAATTCCCCTCTCTAAACACATTGAAGAGGCTAAACTCCCACGTTTTAAATAAAAGGTTTTGAAAGTGTAGCAGAAAAATTGGAATGACCAACATATGACTATATGAGAGAGATCTAGGGAGAAGAAAAGGCAACATTCTTCTATACAATTATAGAAGCAACCTCTCATAATACAAACCTTTTTTTTGCTAATTTGACTAATTAATTTAATTACTTGATATAAATACATGTACGTACTTACGTAAATAGGTACTAACCTAATGTATCTCTCGTTACATCATAACGTACCTCATTTTTCTCTTTTCTTAATAGACCAATTATATAAAAATAATTATATTTCCCCCCAAGAAATTATATGGAAACTCATATTTTTTTTTCTTCTTGAGTTTCCACGTAACCTTTTTTTTTTCACATCCTTAACAAAAAAGAAAGAAGAAAAAAAGATTTAATAGGGAACCGATGACTAGCTACTGAGAGCTAGGCTAGCAGTCTCCAAAGTCTCGAATCGAGAACGCGGAGGAGGCCTTCTCCGGCACGTTCCCGGCGTGCCGGAGACCGAGCGTGAGAGACACGTCTCCGCCGGCGGCGGTTGCTCCGGTGGTCCCGTACCTTATTAGGGTATTACCCGCTACGTCAGCAGGCCCGAAGTTCTCATTATCACCACCCATGGTCATCCCACCAGCACCGTAGTTGGCGTACTCGTGGAAAGCAGGCGGCGGCGGCGCCCCGTCGACGGCGGAGGAAGACATGATCATGGCGGCGGCTTGGCTTTCGGAGAAGTACTGCTGCTGTCTGTTATTCATGGCGGCGAGGGATGATGAAGATGGAGGGACGTCGTCGTTTTCGTCGGGGATTTCGGGTAATCTTTTCACCGCCGACGGGGTCGTTGTGGCGGCCGCGGCGGAGGATGATATATTGGACGTTGCGGCGGCGGAAGTAGGGGTGATCGGCGCAGAAGATTGTGTCGTGGTTGGGAGGACTGTTTCCTGATCTTGACTTGTGTCCGCCACGTCATCGTCCTCCTTGGACTCTTGCTGGTACATCTCTTCAATCATCGGTTTCCACAGCCGGACTCTTGCATTGATGAACCAATTGGATACCTAAATGATTACCAATACCCAACAAAAATGTTTTTAACATGACATTCTTAATCAACCACAAAAAAAAAAAAAAAAAAATGAACTTCTATAACTTCATCAAAATATTAAATATACATATGTGCTTCGTATATTCAATCAAGTATGAACGAACGACGATGATCAGTGGTGTAGCCAGAAATCTTATTGAAGGGATTGATCTGAACTATGATAATTGAAGAAGGGGGACTATGACTTACTGATTACTCTATTCCCCAAATCAGTTGCGAATTTTACATGTAATTGTACCTATAGTTCAAAGTTCAGGAGGGCTATATCCCTTCTTGACAGTCAACCTAGCTACGCCACTAACTATTATGATAAGAGAAATTATGATAAGAGAAATTAAGATCGACAGTTCACCATCTTTTATAATGTAGTGGGTTAATAGCATTTAGGAAAACGAAAGTATGAGTTTTTACCAAATTCCAATTTAGTTAACACATTATCTTATTCGACTTCGCACATCTAAATTACGATATTTTGAGACGGCCCTATGAACCATGGTAGCATATCGTTTCCAATACTCTATCCGGCTACTTTCTCTCGCAAGTGGATGTTCCCCACAATATCATTCACAAGATTTGAAATGAAAATCCCACCTTTTTCAAACTCGAAAATGTTCACCATCGCGCATCAGACACACGAGATTTCATTCCCGCCCATTATCACTCTATCATTCTTATGATCTAAGCTAACTAATGTATGCACATTGTCTAACAAACGTGCATGAAATGATGACCAAGGACAAGAAGAACAAAGTAAGGTGGAAAGGGAGAGTTGGGGACGAAGGAAGTAAAATTGGAGGGGGTAATAGTAGGAATGGCAATGGGCAGGTTCAGGGCCGGTATCTCAATATCCATACTCGTCCCGTGGCAAGTCGGGTCTAGGTCGAGTAATTTATCATGGGGCGCAGGTCGGGGCAGGTCGACCCAATGAGTATGTAATTTATGCGGAAAAACATTAGAAATATGAGGAATTTTACAATGCTATATAGTATTGGTGCTATAAAGTTTTGCCTTTATGGTACAACTTAAAATTGTACATTTACGTTATTGTGCAACTTCAGATTGTACCTATACTTTTTGTACAAATTTTTTACGGTACAACTTGAACTTATATCTTTATGTGATGGTATAACTTCAAGTTGTAAAGTTGTACCATAACATAATTGTACAAATTGGTTTATGGTACAACCTAAACTTATACATTTAATGTTATGGTACAACTTTAAGTTGTACATTAAAGCACCAATACTATATAGCATAGTAGAAGTGCTCTAGAAATGTTCGTTATTTTAATTAAAAGACCAAGAAAGAAACCATTATATGATAAAATGTAATTAAGTTATTGGATAAATTGAGGGTTTTACCTATTTACAACTTTATTATAGCTAAAATATGATGTAATAAGAGGAAAGTCCTAAATAATTTGACTGATATTACATATAATTTAGGCAGGAACGGATCAAGAATGGGGCAGGTCGAAACTACCCAAAACAAGCCAAACAAGTTGGATAAATCGGGTCACGTCGAAATTGTCAATTCCTAGATAATAGCAAATGATAGTAATGATGAAAGGGTGATAAGTAAGTAGGTAAGTAGAAGAAACAGCTAGTGGGATACAATATACTATAGCAAGGTCGACATGGTTAATGGACAAATGGATGGAGCACAAACCATTTATGAGGGTTGGAGAGCCTGCCTGCCTGACAATGATCAATCGCCTTGTCTATTTATTGTTTGTGCATATCCCCACACTCATGCCACACACTTATATGTATAGACAAATGCACATAGAAATTTGTGTTCGTTTCTTTCATACAACGAAGGTCTTGGAAAACAACCCACAACCAATGTAGCTACCTAGCTAGACCTAAATTTAATGTGTTTCTCTGCATGTACTTCTCTCCACCTCCATTTATTAACTTCCCTCCTTCACTTTCTTTTTTCATGCAAAATGTACTAAGTCATGTATAGCCAAGCGTTTTTTTATAGGGTGCATGTTCACTCACGTAAGTGAAGAGTACTTGATGTAAAAAAACAAAAAAGATGGAAAAAGGTGATGAAAATGTGAAGCAAGTGCAAAAGGGCAATCAATGAAAGGTAAAAAAAAAAAAGTAAACTATAAGGGCCAATGGGTCGTTTTGAGTCCATGTTTACTCCTAGAGTACGTACATGTACTTAAACTAGAGTCCTGATGGAATTTATAAATGAACATAGAGTAGAATAAGTTTTGATTCATCTATTAAATTGGTATAGTACATAACAGAATCTAATATTCTGAGTTTGTTTGTTTAACAATAATGTGAGAATGAGAACATTTATAAGATTTTAGCTAGGTTTGGTCTTTCGTATGTTAGAACTCATTTGAACTTCAACGATTACTCGAGTGCTAATGTAAAAAAAAACCAAGGTCCAAGCCTTGGGCCAATACTTGCTCTCATAAACTAAGTTGTGTTCAATACACATGGTCTTAGCCGCAGAATTCGAAAGTTACGTATAAACTATATCGGTAATTGGAAATTGTATAAATCGATGAGTTTGTATATAGTTATTTATTGCACAAACATAGAATAAGAAAGCAAATCTGGCCCAGCGGATGGGAACACTACAGTTCTCCAAATAGGTTAAGGGTTTGAAACTTTGCAGATGCATTAGTTGTTATAATTTGCTTTTCAGTTTTATAATTTCTCATCATGTTTCATCTTATTATTTTTTTTAATTCCGTTAATTTCAATGTGGTTTCTTAAGTCTTTTAGTTTCAAAAATAAGTTTTATATGGTTGAATAATAGTTCCCTCAAATCATCTAAAAATAGTGATTATAATATTATTAAATATAGATTTTTATAAATTTTTATCGCCTTTTGGAAGTAACATAAAAAAAGACCGACCCACCGAATGTCGAATTCTAGCTCCGCCCCTGCCTAAAAGATCGACCCATTTTAAGACAGCAGTTAACATTGAAAGTCCTGAGGATTTGAACATTTAACCTCGATTACGAATCTGAAACTCGAATACCATGTCGTCGTCTTGAACTAACTTTGAGTGTTTCAATTAGGATCCATTGGCTTATGAATGATCATCAACCCAATGGTAAAACGATAAAATCATGCATGATATGTATAGGTTACTATTGGAAGTACACAAAGTCGTTCTCGATTCACTGCCTATTCTTAATTGTTGAGGCTATGAGTGGTTGGCCCGACTCTCTGGTTTTAGAGAGAGAGAGAGAGAGAGAGAGAGAGAATCAAAGCTGCAAACACCCACGTCTAGCTAGGTCTTGGTTTTCCTTTCAATCTTTACTCTGTCTGTCTGTAAGGGGCAGGCTTTGTCTCTGCCATATATTTTTTGGCTTTTAGTTTCACTCTTCTTCCTCCTTCCCACCCCACAACCCTATAGGTATCATTGTCTACTGTCTGGTTTCTTTCACTGTATCAGTATTTATAATATCTCCATTTCCCGCAAAACAAAAATAAAAATAACCATTTTGACACAGGGAAATAAAGAGAAAGGGGTCTGAAAGAAAAAAGGCATCCGAAGAAATTAATGAAAAGACGTTCAAGATTTTCTTAACAGGAAGAAAGAAAGGAGACAAAGGCAAGCGAACCATGAGAGAGTAAACCCCAAATGCATGAAAGTTTCATCTGAAACCGCATATTCCACCCCCCTGGGTTGTCTTCTTCTAATTATGATTTTGTGTGTAACCTTGTTGTTTAGGGATGAAAATTGAAACCGGAGCTCGGGGTATCCAACTCGATCCAACCTGGTTAATAAAGTGGGTAAATTTTAATGTTGATGGGTTTTGGATTGGTTTCGTGTTTTACTCATTTATGAAATTGATGGGTTATATATTGTTTGGGTTTTGTGAAAATTCAACTCGCTTTCCACTAGACTCATACTCATAAAGTAAAACAATGTTATTTTGTATCCAACCAGAATAATTTATTGATGTTATTGATCTTTTATCGCAATCTAAGCCTAATAATATAGATAATTTATAAATGTTAGTAGTCTTTACGTAGATATATTTATAAGAAAATTTCAATAACCTTACGATATAGTTGTTCGAAGAATTCTGTATGGTTATATTCGTAAACGCATGGGTATCCCTGCACCCGTGACTTCTCTTTAAGTTGGGTTTTCAATTATATAATCCAACGATATAGTGGTATGACCACTAGACCGAACCCTCGATCGCAAAACCCACCGAGTATCTTACCAATTATTTTTCTATTTTTACTGGGCGCACCGGTTGGGTTGCATTGGGTTGAGATTTAGAGAAATCCAACCCAACTCATTGTCATCCCTAGTAGTACTTCTATGTTAGATATTAGCTACAAGCCAATAATACGAAAATCATGTTAACCTATGATCTTGATTGTTGGATGTACGCCTTGATGTTATCTAAAGAAAAAAAAAATGTCATCATCTAACAATCAGGGGATCACTAGATTGTAGGGTAGCATGATCAGTAGATACCATACATATATCGGAGCTGGATGCATGCGGCAGCATAAAATCCAAGAGTCCAAGTGAAACAGTAAAACACATACGGAGAGTGAAAACGAAAGGAGAAAGCTTTTTTCTGGCGTAAATATGTAAAGCATGTAATACATAAGGAAAAAAAAAAGGGTGGCAAAGGAAGGAGAGGGACAACTGACCTGATTTCTCGATAAACCAGTCTGTCGAGCCAACAGATGCTTATCTGCGTCGCTTGGATACCTGAGAAAGAGACCACCAGCAGCACAGCTCTTCCTTTTTAGTACAAATAAGAACAAAGGCAATACGTATATATATTACACTAACAATAACAAAGTATTATTATTATTACTATTAGCACCCTTTATATGCAGAAATTTTTACCCATCAGCAGCTTGGTTGGCCTAAAGAAAAGTCATCAGTTTCTTTCTAAAGCTCTGATACCCAACCCGTACGTATAAAGATTAAAAGAGAGGAAACCAGGGACAACTTTACTGTGCTTTTCCTTGTTCCTCTCCCTTTCTTTCTTTAAATGATAATGCAAGGAAAAAAAGAAATTGCATTAGGGTTTTGTTTTTCTTTGCATGGGCGTTAGAATCTAAGAAGAGAAAAGCAAAGGAAAGTAGAGAGATAGAAATGATCAGTTCAGCAGAGCATGCCAGTTTTTTTTTTTTTTTCCCCAGCAAAGGGCAGCAGTAGGCCAGCCATGGCGGCCCAGTTGTTTTTGCTGCCCTCATTCATGATCATCATATCCCCTTTTGATGAACCCAACCCTATTAACCTCAACTAGCTATATACACGGTGCATACTTCGATGCCCGAGAAAATCATTTCCTCTGCACAGAATTACAACACGTCGTGTGCTCAGTCGTTGAATACAGGCGATGGCATTTAAAATTGCTAGACTAAACTTCTCGTAAAATGAACATGCACATCTAGAAGATATAGTAATGTCGAAATCCTACTTGTTTCAAATGAACTATCAACGATTATGAGTATGATTAGACTTACATCTATCATGGCGAAATTCGGGTAAAGGGGAGAAAAAAAAGTGTGGAGTTGTTGGCAGGGAAATGGAGGGCTCTTAGTTCTTACTTACACCTTTTTGTTGTTTTCTATAGGGCGATGAGACAACAATCAAGGACACTACTGAAATTACTGCTATGCTCTGCTGCCTGCACTTCCTTTACATTCAAACAGTTCTTACATTTGTTTTTTTCTTTTTTCGTTTTCTCTTCTGGTTAAAAGGTATCTATCTCAGTAAAAAAAAAAGAAAAAGGTATCTCTCTCTGCCTTAGCCACTACGTACACCGAAGCCAAGGCAGCCAGCCAGCCACACAGGTCCAAACCCGTAAGCTTGGGATCTTGTGACGATAAGCCAAAAGAAAATAAACAAGAACGCAAAACAGTCGTACGTTACTGAAACAGAAGGCTTTAATCATATGTGACATCACCCAGACAAAATATAATAAACCCATTTTTAACCCAAACAGAAGCTTTGCCTGGTAATGGACAAAGAGTTTAATTATTTGATCAATCTTAAACTCTGATTAATTTACTATGTCGACCATCGATACTTCTGAGACAGCCGAATAATATATATATCAACCGTCTAAACTACACAACGCTACTACAACCCCTTTTCATACAACCTAGCAACCAACGACAAAATATATTTAATCTAATAACATGCCATTTGGATATAAGGAAATTTTAACTAATACCTCATCATATTATCTATTTTATTCGATTTTTTATTATTATTTCTCAGGTCAAAAATTTCCATCTTACTGTAATCTATTACTATATTTAATTTAGTAAACACGTCATTGGTCATAACACATTTTAAGAATTTCGTTGGTTGATAACTGTCTTATGTTTTTCACTTCTATACATTGATATTTTTCTTACATTAGTATATATATAATATGTATTGTGATATATCACACGCTAACTAAACATTATATCATCCTCGACAACAAAAGGGTAAAAAAAAAACGAAGAGACAAATTAGTACATTAACAAGTTTGTTCAAAAATCTTAGTACGCATGCAAAGTCACTCGTTAAAACAACACAATCGCATCTATATATGGACCCAAAAACGCCATTGTCAAGTGTTAACCCTAAACTCTCTTTCTCAATTATTCAAGGCAACTCTTTTTTTTTTCTTCTTTTTCTTTCCCAACGACTGAGCAGCGAACATCACAAAACGTCGCAAATTAATCCTAATAACTAATCAGATGGTAAAAGCCGAACTAACTGCCTACAGTTAATGCAAACAAAAGATAGAGAGGGTTGAAAAATTAAAAGGAGCAGAAGAAAGCGTAATTAAAGTGCAATTTCAAAAGGGGAAGAGAGACGTAAACGTACGGGTGAAGGAAGTGCTCGAAGAGCCAGGCTCGGAGGATGTTGACGGATCGCTCCGGCAACCCTCTCTGCGGCCGCCACGCTTCCTGCTCCATCATCCCCATCTGGTGGAACGCACGCTGCTGCCTCAGGCTCTGCTCCAGCGCCCTCAGCCGCGGCGTTTCGCCTCTCGTGATCCCGCCCGCCGCCCCGGCACCACCGGCGGCGGCGTCTTTTTCACCCAGCAGCTCGCAGGTCTGCCTGAGCTGGGCCGCGATCGCGTCCTTCAGGCACCTGAAGTGACGCGACATGGCCTTCTGGGCTAGGGCCGTGTACGGGACCGCGGCCCCGAAACCCATCACCAGGTCGAACGAGTTCACCACCATCTGCATCTGCTCGCAGTAGTGGTTGTACCTTCTGTCCACCTGAAGTAAATCAAATCAAATCAAATCAATTCAACCCACATTAGTATTATGTCATTAATCGCGATGAAATGATAATTCAGTAAGATATATAATGGGGTTTTCCTCACTTAACCTTTGTTTACATCAATCATCAAAAAATGTGACAATATGAAAGATATGTTGGTGTGCTTTCACTTATGTTAATGTGTCACAACAACATCTTCATCTCATGCACAAATAATCAGGGATAGTCAAATTTATTTTATTCTTTTATATGAATGATTCCACTAGTTCAAGTTCTTGTTCGTAATTAAAATCGTATTAGCATAAAGGAAAAAAAAAAGAGTATTTTGGTGATGAGAGTCCTTCACAAAAGGGGAAAAGAAGGAAGCTACCTACATGGGGCTGGTTGGTCCCAGGTCAACATAGACCTGGTAAAGAATATGAAATGATCAAAGTATATGATGATGATGCTGCTTTTACTACTACTATTTTCCGTCTGTAAAAATTCACTGCAAAACAATTATTACTATGATGGGATATAAATGTGGGTGGCGGAAGGCAAGCTTCATAATAAGCTTTTCAATACTTATAAAAAAAAAAAAAAAGAGGATTGGTGGTGGCTTCAAGTTAATGGCCAGGATGGGATGCGCTTCCCTATCCATCTTCCCAATCAGGAGCAACGTCCTCATCTTCCTCCTACCATCCCCTTAGTAATTGTCCCCTTTTAGTACCATTTTCTTTATTTTTTTTTATTTTCATATCTTTTATATATATTTAATTTTATTTCCTCACCAAACCCTTGAAATATTATTTTTAAGAAATGAAATAAAAAGGAAATAATCCCTCCAGAAATTTCTACCCATATTACATCCCCACCAATCCAACAGTGTCAAAGCCTCATAATTCCCCCCCTTATATTATACTGAAGCAAGCAACAGTATTAGTTTAGTAATAGAGTGGTTTAGATATAATATATAATAATAACAAATATTTGATGCTGATTATGACGGCTAATCCTACCACTATACTCCTACTCTACACTCTACTCTAAACAACTAGCTAGATCCTATATGTCAGTGTATGCCTGCCTTATTGCACCTGCTGCCGGCTTTCTACCATTAATTAATTAACTATTAATTAATTAATCGTTATTCATCAAATTCAAAACCTTCCCATTTGTTCTTAATGATTGGACCAATCCAGGAACCGAAATCGAAATCGTGAAACTCCACCAAATGGCAGCTTAATTCCTGAAAATCAATGGAGAATTCTAGCAAATTTGAATAATAATAATTGGAAGGGAGAAGAAGAAGAAGAAGGTAGAAGAAGTAGGCTAGAGAGAGAGAGAGAGAAATGCGGACATGCCTCATCAAGCATGGAGACGAGTTTGACCTTCCGCCTCTGATGCTCCATCCGATCGGAAGACGACAACGGCGGAGGGGGAGCCGGCGATTCCTTGGTCGTCGGAGTGCTCGACGAACCACCACCGCCGTTGTTGGTGCTGTTGTTGGAATTGAGCCTGGACAATTTGATCTTCTTGAACTGCCCTCTCCCGACGCTGCAGAATTCCTCCAGCAATTCCGCCGCCGCCTTGACGTACTTCGAGCTACGCAGCACGTTTACCACCCCTATACCGGAGCCGAACCCACCGATTTGACTCACCTGATTCTGCTGATGGAGATGCAATGCTTGTTGCTGCTGTTGCTGCTGGTGGTGGTGGTGGCCGATGGTTTTGTAGTAGTGAGCGGCGGCGGCGGAGGAAGAGGCGGAGGGGATGGCAGAATGGTGGTGATTGTAGTATAGCAATCCGCCTCCGTCGCCGATTCGCAATTCCTCCGCCTTGGCGGCTTCCAGGTGCTGTAGCGACGAGGATAAGGAGAGGGAGAGCCCCTGTCCTTCCACCACGCCGCTAATTTCGGAGGGGTTGGAGTCTGGCACCCACGAGAATTGCGTGGGGTGGGTTTGAATTGAGGGCGGCGCGTAGCCGTCCGGGAGGAGCATGTGGAGAGTGGATGGTGGTGGTGGTGGTTGGGATGGAGACGGGGATCGCGGCGGCGGATTGGAGAGGAATAGCTGCATGGCGGCCGCGGCCGCCGCCGAATCCGCGTTAATTGTGGACGGAATCTGGTGGTGGTGGTGGTGGAAATCGGTGCCGTCGTGGTCGTCGTTGCGGTTGTGACTCTGATTGTTGTGGTGATGATGATGATGATGATTTTCCTTCGAAGAAGAATCTCCACCGGCGCTGTACCAGTCGTTGGCGGCGGGATGGTGGTGGTCTAGCAGGTCGACCGCGGTGGGGACGGGCGGTCCGCCACCGTTGGGAGCGAAATTGAACATCTCGGACAACATCCCCGTCGTTTCGCACACCTGTTGCGGCGGTTGTTGATGGTGATGAAACCCTCCTTCCGCGGCGGATTCCTCCTCCTCCCCGTCGATTCCAACCAGCGACGGCGGAGGATACTCGGCTTGAACTCGAAGCTTATCTCTCCTCATCTGCTGCGCCATGTGTTGCTGCTGCTGCTCTTGAACTCTGTCGAATCCGTTGGAAGCAGAGAAAGAGAAGAAACCTCCGCCTCCTCCTCCTCCTCCATCTCCGCTTCCGTCGGTGCCCTGGTGGTGGTGGTGGTAATCCTGTGACATAGAATTGGAATTGTACTGCTTGTGATGAGAATTAGGGGTGACGATCGGAGAATTGGACGAGAGCTGAGCCTGATTCGCTATTCCCATATCATCGGCTCGGTCCCGATCATGGCTGGCCGGGGAAGGGGAATTTCAGACTGCCGGCCGGTGGAGTTTGAGAGATGGGAACAGAGAGATATATATGTGTGGTGGGGAAGACGAAGGGAGGAGAGGAACGACACGTCGTTTTCCGTCACTGGAAGAGAAAAGCAGGTTAGCTGCGAAGAATTACTATCACCCACACACACACAAACACTTTCGCTCTCAAATGGGAAAAATCCCCTCTGCAATTTTTTTTATTTTTTTGTTGGATCTTGATCTTGAGAGCTTGCGCCCCTTCTCTCTCTGTCTGTCTCTCCCTTTCTTTCCCTTTCTCTCTTTTCTTTTTTTGAGCTTATGAATCTCTCGGTAGAGCGATGGTGTGGATGTGTGATATTGATACTGGAGATAGATAGATGAGGAGGGAGGGGAAGGGAAGGAGATGGGGGAACGGGAGAGAGAAATGGGGAAAAAAAGGTTTTATAATGTGGAAAAAAGAAAGGAAATTTAAAATTAAATTAAATTAAATATGGGTGTGGCCAGGTCATTTCGTATAAATAATAATTATTATTTGCGGAAAATGGAGGTAATAAGACAAACGTACGTAGGGCACTAAATTACAATGGGAAGGGGGAGGGTGAGATAATCATTTGCTAATTATGATTTCATAATAGTAATCATAAAAAAAGAGATCGTGATTAGTTAATTAAATGTATCTTTTTTTGGAGTGATTAAAAACAGATAATAGTCCAGTAAATGAGTGACACGAAAAGATAAAAGAGAAGGTGTCGTTGTTCTGCTTTCTTTTCCATCCTTTTCCTTTTTCCACTGTCCACAAAACAAAAAAACAAATTAAATAAATACAAAAGGGGGGGCAATAAATTTTTTAGGGTTCATGGGGTGGTGGTGGTTTATGTAATTTTCTCATGATTAGTATGATTGAGCGTTTCTATTTCTTTTACAGAGACACCCAACTGAAACATTAATAATGACAAAACAGGGCAACTGTTCACTTTCACAAGTTTTCTCCTTCTGCAAAACAATGGGAAGGTGAGTAAGAAGAGAGAGATTTGTAATTAATTTCCCCCACTAATACTATTTTGCCGGTAAACAAGGACTTGAGTTGCAATGGTATAACTGAAATTTGTTCGTAGAATTGACAGGTTGGATGACCTCACGGTAGGGGTGGGAATTCGGTTGCAGTTTTGCGGTTACAGCTATAGGTGTCAATCGGGCGGGTTCGGGGCGGGTTCATTCGGGTCGCGGGTTAATCGGATTGCGGGTTAAGCGGGTTGCGGGTCAAGCGGGTTCGGGTTGATCGGGTTGCGGGTCAAGCAGGTTTGGGTTGCGGGCAAATCGGGTTCGGGTTGATCGGGTTGCGGATCAGAAGGGTTACGGGTTGATCGGGTTGCAGATCAATCGGGTTCGGATTGATCGGATTGCGGGTTACAACAGGTCGGGTTGCGGGTTGTTCGATCCAAACCATCGAGTTTTTTTTTATAATTAGTTATTACACTAATTTAAAACAAACTCACCGATCACCATATTGCAATGAAAAAATATGAAATACATTATTAAACAAATGAGTGACTAGATTTTGCTTGAATATATCATAAACAAGTTTGATGTTGCTAGTTGTTGGTACCTTGTAGAGGATTCATTAAGGTTACAGAACCAACATAAATAAATAGTTGAACAACTAGAAATTAAAAAGCTGACAACTTGCTTGATCATAAACCTATGAAACCATCTCTTGAGTCTTGATAGTTGAGAGTTGAGACCATTACATAACATTTAAGCAAATATAATGAAGGAAATACAATAAAGTACATAAGGTTCCATTAATCTTGAAGATTTCCCTTATTGCACATCTTAAGATGCCTCCACAGTGAAATTGTCCCATTCTTATTAGGATCGCATCCAATAATCTTCATGTAATGGTTGCATTGAAGCTTGACCTCCTCCTCTGATTCAACTTGAGTGAAATTCTCCCAAATTTTGCTTCTTCTTGCCCTGGCGTCCATTGCTTCTAAAAAAAGCAACGAAAAGAAAAGAATTACATAATCAATCAAGCAAGAAACAACAAACAAGATAACACGACTAAGTTTCATCTAAGGAATTGACTCATTTTTGGGACTAATCCTACAAAGTTTCATCCAAGAAGCAACAAACACGATAACATATTGAAACTACGAAAATTGTTTCGTGCTAGTGCTTAGCAGAGTTACATCCAAGAATGCTAGTGCTTAGCACATGCAATAGCTTTTGCCCTTGCATTTAACAAAACCAGAGCAGCCAACCCCCTACAGATAAGCTCAAGGTCCATTCATATAAGGTAATAACATTGGCATTCAGCAAATAAAAACCCTCACAAACAATAGCGCCTCACAAAACATGAGCAGATAGATAGGAAACCAAGTCAAACAAAAGAAAGACCAGGCGGAAGAATGAGCATATGAAGCCAAATGCCTGAGAAGAAGAGGCACGGTGACAATAGGGGACGAATCGACAAACCCACTAATCGTCGATCCTCACCTTCCGTCAATCCTCACCTGCGCCGAGTAGATCATCTCCGCCGCCATTGCTGCCGCTAGATCGTGCTACCCTAGTAGTCCCCTGCCGCATCGTCTCTGTCGTCGCCCCTCACCTACGCAGCTACGCTGACCTCCACATTTACAGGTAACATCGTCCAAACTTTCTATCCTTTTGTTTATGTTTTGGCTTTAGCTTGTACACTAATGAGTAATGACATAGAACTAGACGAATCTAGTCGTTGCCTTCAATAGCATAATAATAATAATAATAACGATAAGGGAAGCATCTTGGCAATTGCAAATAACTCAGAAATGGGCGCAAAGGGAAGCATCTTGGTTTATCATTATCTATTGTGTTTCACTGGTTATTAATATATATGTTGAATCTGCAGAAATGGACGCAAATAACTCAGAGAGAGAGAGTGTTGCTGGTAGCTCAAGTCCAGTTTCAATTCCTAAACCGAAGCCTAATTCCCGTCGTAGATCAGATGTGTGGGAAGATGTCTAATTGTTTGACTTTGTTGGTGATGAGGGAGTCGCTGTTAAGAAAGGAAAATGCAACACTTGCGGCAAGATATATAAGCCGGGTGCAAAAGATAGCACATCAACTCTGTGGCGTCACGTTAAAAGCTGTAAGAAAATCCTATCTTCAAATTTGAACTCGGATGCAAGCCATTCACATGGGCCTAACACATGTGATAGTTGTGGTCACAATAAGATAACTCAGGAAGGCTTTCATGACAAGCTAGCATCAGCAACAATTATGCATGATTATGTTTTTAGATGTGTTGAGCATATTGGAAATAGAGAGGTGCATCATTACCTAAACAGTAATGCTAAACCAATTTCAAGGAACACACATAAATCTTATATCATGAAGATGCATGAAAGAATGAAAGTTGAGCTGAAGTCTGATCTACAAAAGAATTATAGTCATATTTGTTTGACAAGTGATATGTGGACTTCATTGACAAGTAGAGGGTATCTTTGACGGCTCATTATGTTGATGATGAATGGAAGTTGAATAGAAAACTTTTGAGTTTTTGTCATCTTCCTCCTCCACATTCAGCTTATAGAGTGAAAGAAACAGTGTATCGTTTGCTTAGAGAGTGGGGTATCGATGGCAAGGTTTTCTCTATCACATTGGATAATGCTAGCAATATGACTACTATGAAAAATGAATTGCGTGATCAGTTGAATACACAAAATGAATTATTATGTCCTGGCAAGTTCTTCCATATACGTTGTTGTAGACATATACTGAATCTTGTTGTCCAAGATGGGTTGAAGGTGATTAGAGATGGTATCAAATATGTTAGAGAAAGTGTCAAGTATGTTGAGGGATCTGAAGGAAGGAAGATTAAGTTTAAGGAGTGTGTTGAACAAAGTGGGATGAAACAGTCAAAGTCGTTGTGGCTTGATGTGCCAACAAGATGGAATTCAACTCACAATATGATTGATCGAGCAATATTTTATCGTGAAGCTTTTGTCAATTTAGCAAGGATGAATAATGAGTATAAGGATTATCCATCAAATAATGATTGGGAGAAAATGGAGGTGCTTTTGAAGCCATTTGATGAAATCACGAAGTTATTCTCGGGAACCAAGTACCCAACAAGTAACTTGTTTTTCGAGAATGTTTGGAAGATCCATCTTGAGTTGAAGAATCTTTGTATATGTTTTGATGATGATATGAGAGATATGGGAAACACAATGATGTCCAAGTTCTTGAAATATTGGAAAGACTACAACTTAGTGCTTGCTTTTGGTGTCATTTTGGATCCTCGTTACAAGCTTGCATTTGTCAAATTTTGCTATGAAAAGTTGGCCGAAGAGTACACTTCAAATTCGAAGGCTATTATGGATGATTTGGAGCTGCTCTTTAAGGAGTACAAAACTCAATCGTCCACTTTACCTAGTCAAAGTGTGGTGCATATGGCTTCTCCGAGCATTCCTTTGGATAGCCACACTGCTGTAAGTATAGTTTTCTAACTACCTTTTGAGTCATCTTGTTGTTTATACTCCTTTCGATCTTATGTCTGATTATTGATGATATGTAGTTATATAAATTATTTTCAGGGTTTCTATGCTTCCAATATCAATCAGAACACATCAACTAGATCCAAGTTGGAGTTATATTTGGCGGATCCTTTAATTCCTGCTTATGCAGACATTGATGGGGTTCCTACATTGCTTCCTTTTGAAGTATTGCAAGGGATCATCAATTTCGATATCCTCAACTCTCTCGGAAGGCAAAAGATGTGCTTTCTATTCCAATTTCATCAGTTGCTTCAGAGTTGTCTTTTAGTTTGGGAGGTAGAATATTATCCAAATGGAGGACTTCCATTTTGTCTGATACCCTTGAAGCTGTTGTGACAACTCGTAATTGGATGCATAGATATAAAATGGGTAAGAAAATTTATATTCTTTGTGTATACTAAAGTAGGTGAGAGTTTACTTACAATGGTGTTTTTACTTTTAATGACTAATTATACAGACGAGGATGATGAAGATGCAGAATATGATGGAGAAGAAGTGAAGCTTGTTGATTGATCGCCAAGTGAATTGTCATTTTAATTTGTGAACCTATTTTGTTGGTATGTAAGATGTGACAATGTCAGCTATGGATTTGTATCCTACTATTTTTTATATGGTAGAACTTAGTAAGCAAATTGTTATGTATCTTCTTATTATTGGGGTTAGGGTATTAGTTATGACTTATGTACTATTATGAATCTTCGTATGCTAGGTTAATATTTTGACAATGTTATGTGACCAGTTATATTATGTGTGGAAGAAAAAATGTTGTAATTATTAGGTACTGGTATATGATTGGCTTAATTAAGTCAATCATGTTTTTCATATGTATGTGTTATCTATATATATTATTTATATACATCAACCAAATGTAAAAAATGTTGACAACCCTCCTAGGAATTTTACTTATCTACCGAGACAGTGAGACTATTATCTGATTCAATTAAATGGCAGTTTTTATTTGTCAACACAAAGTAAACCTTTGTTCTTGGTGGGAAAGATGAAAAAATAATTGGGCAAGTCACGTAAACTTTATATATATATATATTATCTACATAAATATTTATGCACAAAAATATATTATGTAGTATTATTCGTGCCAATCGGGCGGGTTCGGGTTGGGTTAATCGAGTTCAGGTTAGTCGGGTTATGGGTCAAGCGGGTTGCGGGTCAAGTGGGTTCGGGTCGAACGGGTTGCGGGTCAAGCGGGTTACGGGTCGGGCGTGTTGCGGGTTTTTGACTTTTAGTCCAATCGGGTTGCGGGTGGGTCGCGGATTGGGTTGGTTGCGCGGGCTACTCGGGTCGGGTCATGTTTTGACACCTATAGTTACAACACTAACCGCACCAAAATTGCGCGGTTAGTGGTCAATCGCAAACCGAAAAAATGGTGTATTTTGCGGTCGCGGTTAGCAATATTGCAGTTTTGCGGTTTGCCGGTTAACCGCAACCGAACAACATGTAACCGCATTTTAACGGATTACTGACGCCGCAACCGAACAACATGTAACCGCATTTTAACGGATTACTGACGCGGTTATTGCGGTTAACAGTGACACAACCATAGACCAAAATGTCCCCAAACCATAAGAATGTTTAGTAATGCGGTGTGGCCACGGTTGGCGTATATGGTTAGGTTTCGGTTGCAGTTAACCGTAAATTTTGGTGCGGTTAATCGCAACCGCACCGATTCCCATCCCTACCTCACGGTTCCCTCACACTCCCTCCAGCGTAAGGGTAATTTCATCCTTTCGTAGCCTCATGGGTGCTAATTTGCACCCGGAATATTTGTGGTGACTTGAATCATATGACACGGGGGATTTAAAAGACTAATTTGACGCAAATTTTCTCAAATACAAATACTAATCTAAACTAGTATCTATTTAGACTAATTTGGCCCAGCTTGTGGGTTGATTGTGAGCTTAGTCTAAATAGAAATTAGTAATCCAACTTGACAGTCAACCCACGAGTTGGACTAGATTAATTTAAATATACATTAGTTTAGGTTAGGGTAGAAATTTTGGTCGAAATTAGTATTCTAGTGTAACGTTCAGCCCATTTTTAGGTATTAACCCTTTACGCTTTCTGGTATGTGTTGGAATGTTTGCAATGTGTTTTTTGTATGAGTGTGGTATAGATCCATAATACCCTTTTTCCAACAACTCGAATTATTGGAACCAACTGTTTTATGACATGGTATTAGAGCCTGGTTTGTACTTGAGGTCACATGTTCAAGTCCCGACGACCCATAATATTAATTGTTATCTTCAAGCACATGGTATGGCGGGCCTGTGCAAACTTCAAGCTTGTGAGTTGGCTTTCGTTTGAGGGGGGGTGTTAGAGAGTGGTATAAGATTCATAATAACATTCTCCCAACAACTCGAGTTATTGGGATCAACTGATTCTTGACATGGTATCAGAGCTGGTTTGGCCGAATGGTCGTGTGATTAAAGCTCCACGACCCCCAATATTAACTTCAAGCTCATTGGTTGGCTTTCGTTTGAGGGGGCATGTTAGAGAGTGGTATAAGATCCATAATCACCTTCTCCCAACAACTCGAGTTATTTGGATCAAATGGTTCTTGACATGGTATAAGAGCCTTCTATGACCGAGAGATCTTATGTTTGAATCCCGATGACCCCCATTTGTGAAGCACATGGTATTCTTGTGTTCAGGCCTGTGCAAGCTTCAAGCCCTTATGAGTGGCTTTCATTTGAGGGGGAATGTTAGTGTTTGGTATAAGATCCATTATGGAACATCGCTCAACAACACGAGTTATTGGGACTAGTTGGATTTGACATGGTATCAGAGTTGGTTTGTCCTTGAGGTCAAGTGTTCAAGTCTTCACAACCCCCAATATTAATCACTGTCTTCAAGCACATGATATGACGACCCTGTGCAAATTTCAAACTCATGAGTAGGATATCGTTTGAGGGGGTGTGTAAGGAAGTTGTTGACATGGTATTAGAGTTGGTTGTGACTAGTTGGTTTATGACATGGTATCAGAGGTTGTTTGGCCAAGTGGTTATGTATTCGAATCTCCACGACCCCCAATATTAACAGTTGATTAAAGTACAAGGTATGTTGGGCCTATGCAAACTTCAATCCCGTTAGTTCGCTTTCTCTTGAGGGGGCGTGTATGAGTGTGGTATAAAATCAATAATAACCTTCTCCCAACAACTCGAGTTATTGGGACCAACTAGTTCATGACACTTTTCAGGATATTTTGTGGTTTGCATCTATATATAGGGTGGCGTATTCGACGCACCCACCTTTTTGGGTGCACCCAGTTCACCCGCCTCATAATCATCATTCTCAGCATGCGATTCATGTCAAAACGGTATCAATAGTTGTTTATGATATTATGAATAAGAAGCACATGAATTTAAAAAAAATCATTTAAGATTTACTTTAATTTGAAGTATTTAGGATTTAGAGGTTTAGGGTTTAGGTTTACAGTTTGGGATTTTGCATTGGGATTCCAAATTGAAGGTTAAGGGGTTAGCGTAATAGATTGATTTGTTATGATTCTATGTCATATCATCATATTAGATTGAGAGTACTAATTAAAGTTCAAAATTTGATGTATTATGGACACTTTTAAAGATGGGTGCACTGAGTGCACCCAAAAAAGTGAGTGCACCAAAGTAGCCACCCTATATATAGTTATTTGGTATATGGTGTGCTTCATAAGTTTTATGGTGTGCTTTCTCATATTTTTTGTGCATTTTTTTTTCTCTTGTTTCTCAGGTGATTTAAACATTTTGTGTCATGCTTGGTGATCTTAACAGTATGCTTCAGGAGTTAGTGTTGTGCTTTTGGATGTGTTTGGTTTATGCATTAGGATGTTAATGGAGTACTTTATAAGTATTGTGGTGTGTTTTTATTTTTGTTTCTATTAGAAAGTTTTGGTTTGCATTAGGAGGTACTCTTATGTGTTTTAGGAACAGTTGTGATTTGCTTTGTGATTATTTTTGTTTCAGAAGTTTTGTGGTCTGCTTTGTGAAATTGTTTGTTTGCTTTAGGAGTTTTGTTGTATGTTATCTTGAGTTTCTGGTGTGGCTAGTTCCATCTTCTTTCTTGTGTTATTTATGATGTTCATTCATGGTTTGGATTATTAATAACTCGAATCGAATTTGTAAACAAACGAAATGTAATGCATACACAAACGATTTACGTAGTTTCTAGAGTTGCGGGATGCAATACCGACTAGTTCACGACAAGTAGTCTATGGTATGAGGATGATCTATACGTGCAGTTTATATACATATATATACAAAACATAAGACCTACTCCGGCAGCTAAAGTCCGAGGGTACGAGATGGTCTGGCTATGGGCTCTCCTTTTATTACACTACATGGGCCAAACTATACATAGGCTAATCCACAATCAAAGCATCCCCATCACGAACCAAATCACGAATGTAGTGTATGTGATCATCAATATACTCCGTCCAATCGTGTAACACGGGATTGGTTGCAATATGAATTGTGATGGTATTGTCCATGAATAAATTCATAGCTTTCATACACTTGACACCAAAATAACCAAGCAATCGACGAAGCTAGACCATCTCAGAAGCTACATGGGGTGTTAGCCCAATACTCCTCTTTGGTAGAAATCTTAGACACCTTATCCCACTTCCTGCACCGCAACGAAACAAAGGTTCCTCCATATTAGATACACCACCCTGTCGTAGAATGACGTGTAGCAATGCAGCTAATGTAACCAGAGTTAGAATAAGCACACACAGTATCATCCTATTCAGAAGGAGAAAAAAACCCCATTGTATTGTCTCCATGAAGATAGAAAAGTACTCTGTGTGCAGCCTGTAACTAGGAATCACAAGGTGAGTACATTAACTGACTAAGTATATGCGTTGCGTAAGAGATGCCAGGTTGAGTATGTGTAAGGTAGTTCAAACTACCCACAAGACTACAGTATCTCTGCCTATTTGAGAGTAGTTCACCAATGTCTTTACCAAAATTAACGTTTAACTCCATAGGGGTCAAGACGGGACAACAATTTCTAAATCATGTGGTTTCATGGATATCTTTGATATATTTCTATTTACTAAGTAGAATGCCATGAGAAGAGCGAGTTACCTCCAAACCTAAAAAAAAATAAGAAAGAGACCCAAGCTCCTTTATACAGAAGGAAGATCACAACCCAGCTATTAGTTCCCGAATCCCAACATGGTCATCACTTTTTACCACCATATTATAAACATATAACAATAATACAACTAAGTTCGAGAAAAGACTGAGTGAAAAGGGATGGATCATTCAAACTCGGTTGCATGCCCAACTCGACAATGGTGCTATGAAATATATCGAAACAGCCACAGGGTGCATGCTTGAGCCCGTGGAGTGAACATTGAAGAAGACAAATATGATCAGATGAACTACTTGAATACCTTGGAGGGAGCTCCATGTATAGAACCTCCTTTAGGTCACCATACAGAAACACATTTTCACATCGAGCTGATATAGAGGCTAATTTTGGGATGTAGCCGCGCC